TATATATATATATATATATATATATATATATAGAGAGAGAGAGAGAGAGAGAGAGAGGAGCGATCAAATGCAAACCACCCAATTTGTACAAACCGTGCAAACCACCCTCATCTGTCGATTTCATTGTTTAATCTTATGAATTTTTTCATGAAATTGTTTAATCTTGTGAAATTGTTTCATATAATATATTTTTTTTTTTTGATAAAATTGTTTCATATATGATTATGAAATTGTTTCATATAATACTTAATGAAATTGTTTCATGTTTTCTCAAAAATTAAATAATGAAGATAATAATATCCATGATTAACACTCTCCACAATAAAAATGATTAATCAACCTCTCATAATTAAAAAAAAATGAACAAAATAAAAAATTATGATTGGTTGAATGAGGTTTGTACGGTTTGTATAAACCACGTGGTTTGCAAAGTAAATCTCATATATATATAGGGGAGCGTTCAAATAAAAACCACTCAATTTGTAAAAACCGTGAAAAYCTCATTCAACCAATCATAATTTTTTATTTTGTTCATTTTTTTGTAATTATAAAAGGTTGATTAATCATTTTTATTATGTAGGGTGTTAATCATGAATATTATCATGTTCATTATTTTAATTGTAGAGAAATACATGAAACAGTTTCATTAAAATTTCATTAAATATTATATGAAACAATTTTATAACCATATATGAAACAAATTCATCAGAAAAAGTATTATATGAAACAATTTCATAAGATTAAACAATTTCATGAAAAAATTTCATAAGCTTAAACAATGAAATCGACGTATGAGGGTGGTTTGTACGGTTTTTACAAATGATGGTGGTTTTCATTTAAACGCTCCTATATATATATATATGATTTGGAGATTTCTCCATTCTCTCTCATTCTTTTTTCTCTACTTTAGATGAGGGGTTTAACATAGCTGGTGGAACAAAAAAAATTCACACCTCCAGATTTCTAAAATATCATAGTTGTTGAAGATGCTCTTATATACCCAAAGATGAAGGTTTTTATATAGTAGCATATCCAACAGCTATTTTATTGTAGAAAACTGAGAGATTTGATAAAAGTTTGCTCCAAAAGCTATATAGTTTTTTTTTCTCAAATAGAAGGAAGAAAAATGAGAGAGAAATGAGAAATCACGAAATTTAAAAGAAGTTGGATAAAATACAGTATACCTGTTAGACTGTCTCCAACAAATATATGCTATACTTTTTTTCTTTTCTTTTAAATTTAGAGATTTCTCTATTTTTTTTCTTCTGTTTTTCTCTTTTTTTTTAAATTTTCTAAAATATTAGGGTCTGTTTGTTTTTTCAAAATGAGCTCTTAATACCTTTGAAGTCTGATTCGTTCAGACGTTTGGGTATTAAGAGTGTTTGTTTTATTTTTATAAAAGAGCTTAAAAGCTTTAAATGTCCTCTGAAATTTTAAGTGGTAAACTTATCCATTAATACCTTTTAAGCCTAATCCGTCTGCTATTAAATGATTCATATTTTGGGGGTCGGAAGAGATTTGTTAATAAAAACTATTTATCTTTTATACTTTTGTAAAAAACTACTTATCTTTTATATTTTTTGCATTAATTTGGCCGATTCAATTTTCAGGCTTCAGACGTAAAAACAAACAATCTTACTGATCCAGATTTCAGACTTCAATACCATCTATTATAAATCAGAAGTAAAATCAAACTTCAGACTTTAACACCTGTTAATCTCACCTTATAATTTGTTGTCATGTTGGAGATGTTCTCATATTTTAATTTTAATGTAAGATTTGCAAAAAAAAAAGTAAAGAGAAAAAAAGGAATAATATATACATTTTTTTGGGTTTGATTTTAATTATTAATTATTTAATTGGGTTGCCGAAAGTAACCAAGAGAATAATATCTACGAGACAACAGCTTTACAAAATTAAAAAATAAATATACATTTTGTTTTTTGCTTTTATTTTTATACATCATTAATAAGATATATTAATTTATAAGGATACGGGTATTCTGGATAATTAATTAAAAGGGTATTCGTGTAATGTAGCGAGACATATTTCGATTTTAAATGCAACCATGTACATTTATACAACCAATACAACCCAATTAATTGAGATATTTATAGAAATTATGAGAGTTCATTTTATTATGATTTGAATATTTATGAAAGATAACCACAAGATTGGTGCCTGATTGGTTTGAGCTTGGCTCCAAAGGTCAAAAGTATCAGGAGGTCCCGGGTTCAAATCCAATGAGGAATAAAAATCCTCTTGTGGTCACGGAGGTTCAAATGCTGTGACTCCGGGCTATCTGCAAAGCAGGTGGTCGTCCAGGGATTAGTCGGCTCGCATAGCAGGTTGGATATCCAGGTTAATCAAAAAATTTTTTGTGAAAGATGACTATAGTTCATTAATCATGATCAATACTTTATATTAGAAAACAATCAAAACTTTTATAAAATCACATATTAATCAAATTAAATAGACGATTGATATTGAGTTGTATTGGTTGTACAAATGTAAAAGGGTTGCATAATAACTCACTATATGTATATTATGTATGTATGCATTTGTAAAAAACTAACAAAAAGTTTTTTTTTTAATTAATAGTATTTTTTAAAACTAGCATGTAATAATAATAAAAATATTATTTTTCCAAAAAAAATTAAAATAAAATTATTTTTTTAAATGTAAAAAAATTATTTTACTTTACTAGTTTAATAAAAAAAAATTGGTAGAAAATTAGAAAATTATGTGGTGATATATTTATGAATTTGAGTAATATTAATATCTGAATTCATGAATACATTTGATGTTTGATTGATGGTCTGTGATATGTCACATCAAATTCCTCTGGACAAAATTTAAAGTCTCTGTCAATGACGAAGGAAGAGATTGCCGACCTTGCAATCTAACAAACCATCGTTGAAACAACGATTACAGCTTTAGGATTTGCTTGAATCTGCTCCACAAATTGGATCTGATATCAAGAATCTGAGTATATGCAGTTTTTTGTTTATCGTGGCCTCTGTAAATCATAATTATTTTAACGTTTATTTTCCTGAAATCAGTTTGGAATGAGGCACCAATGGTAACCTCAACTCCATGTAAAGTTGTTAACTTTAATAAAATACAGTCTGGTTCCCGCCACATTCATCAGTACTGATTAACCCTACTCTTAATGGTTCTAAAAATATCTGAATGATTTTGTATCATGCACCTCCCTTAACTATTAAGCGCCCTAATTTCATTGTAAACAATTACCAAACAATTATATTTCATTTTGCCATATATCATGAGAGTCTCTTAATCATTCTGACCACTTAATCATTATGCACCAAACCATTCAGCAACTGCCAAACAACCTCTTACTAGAGTTTGGGCTCCAAAGGTCAAAAGTATCCGGAGATACAAGGTTCAAATCCAAGGAGGAATAAAAATCCCCTTGTGACCACGGAGGTTCAAATGCGGTGACTTCCGGCTACCCACAAATTCGGTGGTCGCCCTGGGATTAGTCGACTCACATAGCGGGTTGGATATTCAGGTTAATCAAAAAAAGATACACTTACTTTTTCAGATAAGGGTGTTCATTAATGGAAGCCAACGGTTTATGGAGATCTGATCTGATCAAAACATCCATTGGATATTACACTTTGTTATCTGATCCAATCAAATTAACACTGAATATCACTATTGGTTCTCCATTTGATTGGATTGGACCCATTCAAAGTTCTGATTCAATTTTCAACCAATCAATCGACAATTTTAACCAATTATTCACATATTTTTTTAAAAACAATATATACAAAATATCAATTTAAAAATAAAATGGTAAAATATTATTAATTTTATATATTTATTAATTGAATAGTAGTTAGATAATTATCAGATGATATTTGAATTGGTTCGGTTCAGTTTTCAATGGATTATGGGTTGCCACCTAAAAACCAACAGATTCAGTTTGGATGTTGAAATTTTGGATCATATCCAATCATGGTAGGTCGGTTTTAATTGGAACAGATCATTTTCTACACACTCTTAGCTAGGGTGCAACAAAAACCTGAGAACCCACCAACCCAACCCAACCCAATGTAAAATAACTTAACCCGAAATAATCCAATGTCTAATCGAGTTGTAAAATCTTCAAACTGTAGGTATTAGGTTAGAATTGGGTTGCTGTCATTTGAACCCAACCCGATATCCTTTTATTTATTGCATATAATATGATTTTTCAATCCCTATTAACTTGTACATTAGACAATTACACCATCAAGTACCCTCTTCATATACATATATTTTCAATCTCTATATAACTCCTTCGTATTTTACTGAACATATATATGTAAACTGAAAAAAAAGTAATTGAATGTAATATTCTTAAAATTTAAGAAATATGGATAATAAATATTAAATGGTAAATGATGAAAAATGAATTATGAGTAAAAAAAAAACAACATATCCAAGGTTACGAGAATATTTTAATGTACCAAGTATCAATCTAACCAACCCATACGGTTTTGGGTTGTGTTGCACTCTGGTTTAAGTGGGGTTGGATTGAGATTTTTCAAACTACAAACATTAGGTTGGATTATTCAAATGTCTTCAAACCGTTTAATGTCAACCCATGAACAACCTTACACTTACCTGTTAGAGATATTGTTTACCAAGCCTCTCTTACAGGTCCATGATGCTAACTGATAAGCTAAAACAAAGACCATTACACGATCAGTTATTAGTATTGAACCAGACCGTACTCTTATCTAATTAACGGTTATCAAATTTGTATCAGTAACGGCTCCTTAATTTCAAAGACTAAAATCAGATAAATATATTGAGTCTTGAACTAAAATATCTAGAAGATAGTGGAACTAGAAGGACTATAGTTGTAAATTAATAAATAGTGAGGGACTAAATTTGTAGTTTAGTTCATTATAAAAAGTGTGTTTGTATAAATAAAGCTAATTAAAGAACACCACTCCCTTTCCTCACCCAAAACTCCATCGAAAATTTCCCCAAATTTCGATCAAATTCTAAAATCATTCCGAAAACCCATAAATTCTTTTGGATTTTGAAATTGGGTTTTTGCATATGGGATCTGGATTTTCATCTTTGCTTCTTATGTGCAACAGTACAACCACTGCTCCGATGGTCTCGTCGGAGCCCAGTCTCGGCGACTTGCCGGAAAGTGTGTTGGGTTCTGTTCTTGTTTACTTAAATCCACAAGAGATCTGTAGGCTCGCAGCTCTCAATCGTGCTTTTCGTTGCGCATCGTCGGCTGAATTTGTGTGGGAATCGAAATTGCCGAAGAACTATGATTTGCTTATATCGAGAGTGTTTGATAGCAACAGATTCTCTTCGAATCTCTGTAAAAAGGAAATTTATGCGAGGTTATCTAGACCTAATCCCATTGATGGCGGCACAAAGGTTTGATGAATTAATTTCCCCAATTTATCTCTTCAAATAAGCGATATATTCTCCTTAAATTCATGCGAGATTTCTGAATTTGTGTGATGAACGATGAAATTTGATCCACGAAGTCTTCAATTAGATATTTGGTTATGTGTTCATCCGTGAATCATCTGAGATTATGTTGGTTTCTGTGTTTGATTTTGATTTGGGTACTAAAAGTATCTAATTAGGTTTTGAAAGTTTTGTGTTGATTAGGGTTTGTGGAAAAAACAAAGATCCTTGAAGAAAATCGGTTGAATTGGATTTATGCTATTTAAGTTTATAAGATTAACGACAAAGTGTCATGTCCATAACTGTAACGAGAGCATCTTCAATGGAGGTTGTTATAAGAACCTACTTTTTGTACTTTTAATGGCCACGAACCTCTGTAAAAATCAACAATGGTAGTTACTTGTAAGAACCTATTTTGTGGGTCTCGTGTATTTTAGGGGCCGTTTACTAAACACTTGCTTGGTAAGTGCTTACCGGATAAATTTTCTTATCGGATGAACATGAGAAGGGCAAGAATCTTACCGGGTAAGAGCGATGAGAATGATGGAGAGTCTTACCCGGCAAGTGAGGATGACGACTCTTACCCAGGTAAGCGCTTACCCAGTAAATTGTTGCATTCGATAGGTTTTGATGTATTAAAATCTTGCGCATCAAAATAAATCATAGTATGGATTCCTATCGGTAAGTGCTTACCATGTAAGCAACTGGGTAAACGTCCCCTTAGTTATTTATCTCCCCAAATTTCTAAAAAGTCAATACCTACACAAGTGGCAACTCCTGCACAGAGAGGTCAAAATGTAAAAAAAAAGAAGTTTCTGAACATGATCCGCAAGTACATGTACCAAGTATGTAAATTAGTCCAAGTACTTCCAAAAGTAGCGGAAGTGCTACTTGCGGACCCAAACTAATTTACAGATTGGTCCATCTACTTGCGGACGATGTTCAAAAACTTTTCTTTTAACATTTTGACCGTCCGCAAATTGAGGATGTGCCACTTGCGGAGGTAGTGATATTTTTGAAATTTTCGGAGACAAATGACTAAAGATAAATTTGGTCCCTGGAAATGGCTATTTCTATGAATTTCCCATGTATTTTTTCAATATTAATAATTACTATATCTTTATAATAAATATCAGATATTTAATTCAAAAAACCAACAAAATATCACTTCCAAATATCTTCTGTAAATTTATTACAACACTTTTAGATCATACGCTTTATTGTTTGGCCCTATAAACTTAAATCCTACAGAGTAGTTTTTTAAGATAGATACATTCTTGACGTTCTATAAACCTAATTTTGTTGTAGTGTCTTGATACGATCTTGGTTGTTTACGAATATGATCATGATTTGAAAATTAGGGTTCATATTGAATCGAGTTTAGCAACAATCATAGAACATGATGGTATTGTGATCTTTGTCCTTTCTTCGGTTTGATTCTTGGGTTCGCGATGAAGTTTATTGACGGGATTTTGAATCGTTTTTGCAGAAAGTTTGGTTAGATAAGGGAACGGGAAAAGCGTGTGTGTTGATATCTTCCAATGGATTAGCGATAACGGGCATCGATGATCGTAGATATTGGAGCTGGATTTCTACCGAAGAATCTAGGTGAGGTTTCGCGTCTCTGTGGGCTTCTTTTTAATCGAAGATATCCCTTTTATAGCGTTTGCATATAGTTGTTTTAGATTGAATGAGTGGACTCGAGTTTTCGTGACATCTAAGTCGTATCTAGGTTCTTCAAATTTCGAGTGTATCGTTATGCCAACTCAACCGGGAAATAAAGGCGAGACCCTGGGCTCCTCCTCGTAGGTTGCCAGTTTTCGAGTCTCCTTAGGGATACTCGAATCATTGTTAGAGTCCGTGGGATTTTCCAGGCCCCTAATCTTCAAGCGGCCTATGAGATTTTACTGACCGCTATCTTCATGGGGACCATGGGATTTTCTTGGTTGTTATCTTCAGGGCCATGGGATTTTCCTGATCCTTTCAAGGGCCGATGGGATTTTCCTGGCCCTTATCTTCAAGGGCCCCATAGGATTTTCATGGGTCCCATAGGATTTTCTGTCCCTTATCTTCAAGGGCCCCATAGGATTTTCCTGGCCCTTGTTTTCAAGGGCCCATGGGATTTTTTTGGGCAGCTATCCTCTGGGCACCATGGGATTTTCCTGATTCTTATGGGATTTTTCCAATAAGATGTATGCAGACCTTACCTCTACCTCGAGGAGTAGAGAGACGGTTTCCGTCAACTATTATGGATACAAAAAAATGGTGTTAAAACCATAGAACAATGAATGATGCTTACGAACCCAATAAATGCCACACAGAGTAAGTCTAGCAGATAGGATGTATGCAAAACTTACCTCTATCCTGAAGAGTAGAGAAACAGTTTCCTATTACGATGACAAAGAGAAGCGATGTTAAAACTGAACTGTAGAACAATGATTAATACTCGTATTTTCGTTAAATATAAGTTTAAATGTTTGAAGTTTGAAAAGGTTTCTTGGTCGAGAAAGGGGGAACACTGGGTTCGTTTGTTTTCGTTTTTTCCGACACCATATGACACCGAAACGAATTGGACTTCTATCGTGTAGATTCCTTTCCGTAGCTTATCTCCAACAAATTTGGTGGTTTGAAGTTGATGGGGAGGTCGAGTTCCCTTTCCCCTCCGGAACCTACAGTCTCTACTTCCGCCTACAACTCGGGCGGTCCAGCAAGCGGTTCGGGCGGCGGGTCTGCAACTCGGACCATGTCCACGGCTGGGATATAAAACCCGTGAAGTTCCAACTCTCGACTTCCGATGGTCAAAAAGCAATAACTCAATGCTATTTGAGCGAACCCGGAAAATGGAACCTTTATCGAGCTGGTGATTTCGTCATCGAGGATTCAAAGGTACCGATGAAGATCAAGTTTTCGATGACGCAAATCGATTGTACACACACTAAAGGTGGACTGTGTGTGGATTCAGTTCTCATATGCCCCAAATGAAGATTTGGTCTTCTTTGTTTTGTTTCTGAGTGGAGGTTAGAAGCAACTTTTTTGATTTGCAAGTAACCTTTTGTTAGTAGGATGCATTTGTATACAGTGTCAGGTCCAAACGAGAAGACAGTCAATTTGTGAGAAGACGAGAAGTTCCAAGATCATAACATGATTATTGGTGATATAGACACCTAATCATATGTGATTAAACACATGTTATGCTGACCGGCATATAATTGGCGACTACGTGTTTATTTAATCATGTATGATTAAATGGTCGTATCATATTTAATCATGTGTGAACTTGAAACTTCTTACATTCTTGCATGATCTTTCCTCTTTGTATGTATGTATGGATGTAGGTATGTATGTATGTATGATATATGAAGTGAGGTAAGATCAAGAAAAATTAAGTGATTGATATGTAATTTTTTTTAAAAGTAAATAATATTTATATATGGCAAATGCAACAAATAAATTCACACATTCGGTTTGAGCTCCTGACCTTCTAGGAGGTCAAGGACTGCGATACCATTAGGCCAAAGACTCTTTAGTTACATTTTTAGTGTTTCTGGTAATGTAAAATGTATACCCGGTTTTTTAAGGGTTATAAATGGTCAAATTTTTGAACATATATATCAATTCATTACAAGAAAATTGGGTTTGTAAGATGTAAAAAATGTGTAAATGTCTTAATAGATTGTTTTATAAAATAATTTATAGGATAGAAAACAATAAAATGTCATATTTAAAGATGTAATGAGTTTATAGAAAGTTTTTTGGTATCATAATATGGACGGACCAGTTTTTTTTTCAAGTGGTTGTACCATATGACTATAAGAAAAAAATATAGGAAATTTTTTTCAAATGCGTTAGACTTAAGAAACAAATATACAATTTTTTTTTTCAAACGGTGGCACAATTTGACTAGGAAAATAACACTAACATGATTTGAACTTGAGTCTGGGATAGAATAAAAGCCTTGCAAACCAACTCTACCAAATTAAACGTGTTCTCCTTGTAGTTTCTAAAATCCTCTGAATGATTTTGCATCCTGGACCTCCTTTAATCATTCAACACTCTAATTTTATTGTAAACAATTAGGGTGCGTCTGGTACTGGACAAGACATGATAGAACATGACAGTGATCTTTGTCCCATATTTGGCATGACTTTTATGTGGAACAAACAAGAACAAAGTAGAACATACCTGTTCCACCCCTACCCCATGGAACATCGTGGAACAGACTTATATTTTACCAATATAACCTCAAAAATAAAACTTAATTATCTTCTAAAACGTTAAATAGGTCTCATTTTTACATCTTATTCATTTTTTAAAATTTATTTATTGCATTATATGTTTTTTAAACTTTTATTTTACTGTCCTCAAAATATATTTTTATACAGTTTTTATAATTTTATTTAATTTATGTAATTTATAATATATTAATAATAAAAAATAATGTAGAAAAAAGATAAAAATGAAAATTGAAAACTAGATAAACTTTTTATTTGATGTCATTTTAATTGTTTCGACTAAAACTTTCAAATGATATATTTTGTTATAAAAAATTATTACGTTATTATAATTTAATAAATTACATAAATTAATTAAAATAAACAACTCATTAAGGATAAATCGATCATTTTACTTGTTCAGTTCTGTCCAGTTTTATCTTACCAAACATCGAACAGTTGTTCTATCATATTCCGTCATGTCTTATCCTGTCTAGACACCAAACACACCCTTACCAAACAATTATGTTTCATTTTACACTATATCATAAGAGCTTCACAATTATTATGACCACTTAATCATTCTACACCAAATCATTTAACCACTAAGAAACAACCTCCTAAGTATCGTTGTAAATAGATAGAAAGATGATAGAATTTGATGGGGCATGAATCCTGATTAAGATTCAGATGTACATAGACTTGTGTCAAAATATGCCAAAAGAGTTCTAATCAAACATAAATAAATCAACTGTCAAAATCTTTCACTATTTAACAATTCAATTCTAAACCAACTTAGATCAAGTTTCTAGCTTCCTTATTCGTTGTCGTTTGGCCGTCGGTACGGCATGAACCTATGGTCTTTCGCTGCGTTTTTCCTCCTCTTTTTCTCGATGAACGATGCAAGCTTGCCCGATTCCTATACAGAATAGAAAAGGTTTGTTAGAGATCGTCGGTCTATGTTAAGCAAACGATCTGATAAACTAGCTGTTAGCTGAAAACCTATCTTTTAGTCAGCTTTTGTACAAATATTTTGAAACTTTGTGACATCAATTGAAAACTAAACCAAAAGTTTATGTCTAACAAACTAGTTGATAATCTAGTTGGTAGCTGAAAAACTAGCTGGAGGTTAAATAAGCTAAATGTCAAGTCTGACGACATGGATGTCGAGTTTATTGCCTACTTCAACATAACCCTTTTGTAAACAGGTATTAATTGTCATCAAATGTTACAAGATCAGTAGGTCACGAGTCAAAATGGATATAAAATAGAAAATTTTGGAACTCTTTTTTGAGGTGGGAACTAAACCAAATTCTGTTGCATTGTACCATTAATCCTAAAACGATGTTCAAAGAAACACCACCGTGTGCAAAAATGAACGATTTTAAACAAATTATGGAAATACAAACAGGAAAAAACCATCATAGTTTGCTCAAAAGCGATCATTCTTATAAGGCGTAGTTTTTTCTTTTTGCATTTTTCAGCCACCGAAAACTAGATATAACATTAGAAAATGCTATCTGTGCCGTTTCACATTAAAAGGCATGAATTATACGTAGATATATATATATATATACACACGCGCACACGTATGTATATAATTACGTACCTTGAGCTCCTTGAATTTCTCAACAAGCTGTTGTTTTCGGATTTCAGCTGCAAGAAAACAAAGAACATAGAGGATAAAGATGTTCATCAAAGATTCAAAGTGAATAAAAAGATCAAGAACTTGCTCAGTACTCTGTTGCAAACCATCCTCTTTCTTTTCTTTTCTCTTTCTAGTTTTAGCTAAATGTTCTTATTTTGCATTTTCCACCAAAGTGTTGGGTTCCCGTAAGACCACCTTGTTTTCGTGAGACCCGTGAGACCATAAAATAACACTGAATCTTCACAGCAGAACACTGTAAAAGTACAAAAAACACCAAACCTTCACAACAAACACACTATGAAGGTTTACCTTCACATTTATTTAGAAGGTCTCACGGGTCTCACGAAACAGACTTGTATCACATGATCCCAAGTCTTCCACCAAAATGCACACACACACACACACACACACACATATATATATATAGGTGAGCACACCCTCCCTAGATCACACACACAAGCACATATAGTATGTGTGTGTATGTATATATATATATATATATATATATATATCAAGGTTCTAAATGACATAAAGCATGGCGTGACGACAAGGTCAAGCCTAGAGCCTTCACGAGTTATGGCAAGGACACGGCGTTCTTCAAGTCGTGTCCTAAGGCAGCAATATATATATGTATATATGTAGAGTATAAACACATATACTCGTGTGTGTTAGTGTTTTGAATAATAATGAAACTAGAAAAGAAATAAGAATCATTGATGCCAAACATATAAAGCTTATTAAAGAATGATATCGGGTGCAAAATCGGGATTAAATCTTTCAAATCTTAACTCACTACTTTCTTCAATTTTCAAAGAATTCGTGTTCAACTCTTCGTATATGAGAATGAGAGTAAGTATTTACCTATTCAGACTTTTTAGTCGGTAAGTTCTCTTTTTTATGTTTATTTTAAGTCTAAGGTTTCGTGCATAATTATCATTATCCCTCAAATATTATATTAAAACCCCCCACACCTTACAAAATATGCGTCGTAACACGTTACAATGGAGCCAAGCGTTAGAATGGAGCCACAAGGGTTAACATAGCGGCAAACCCAAGCCCGGAAGCCATAATGTGCCATAATGAGGACACAAGTTATTTAGAACTATGATATATATATACATACAGGTGAGAACAAGTGAAGATACCTTTATATTGTGTGAATATTATGTTCTACTGTGTGAAGATTGTAAGTTTCACATCACCTTCAACTATGTATTGGAAAGTTACATTTATATTATGTTGTAACCTTCACACACCACAAAGGTATCTCACGACAACGCACAGTGAGGATACTTTTGCTTTCTCTCACATTCTCACAAAAAGGGATATATATATATATATATATATATATATATATGTGTGTGTGTATAGGGTTAGGTTCAAGGGAAACCACATAAAAATGAAAAACAGAAGAACACCCTTGGAAACCGGTTCATCTAGACGGCATGCACACATGCATAAAAACCAAAAAGCATCTCTAATTACTTGTATGCACATATGTATTGGAAAGTTACATTTATATTATGTTGTAACCTTCACACATTCTCACAAAAAGGGATATATATATATATATATATATATATGTGTGTGTGTGTGTGTGTGTATAGGGTTAGGTTCAGGGGAAACCACATAAAAATGAAAAACAGAAGAACACCCTTGGAAACCGGTTCATCTAGACGGCATGCACACGTGCATAAAAACCAAAAATCATCTCTAATTACTTGTATGCACATATGTATTGGAAAGTTACATTTATATTATGTTGTAACCTTCACACACCACAAAGGTATCTCACGACAACGCATAGTGAGGATACTTTTGCTTTCTCTCACATTCTCACAAAAAGGGATATATATATATATATATGTGTGTGTGTGTGTGTAAGGTTAGGTTCAGGGGAAAACCACATAAAAATGAAAAACAGAAGAACACCCTTGGTAACCGGTTCATCTAGACGGCATGCACACGTGCATAAAAACCAGAAAGCATCTCTAATTACTTGTATGCACATATGCATACCGTCTAGATGTACGGTTACCAGGATGTTCCTCAGTTTTTTATTTTTTTAATGTTTTCCCCTGAACCTCCTATATAATATATATATCTGTATATATATACAGATATATATATATATATATATAAACAGAGAGAGAGAGAGAGAGAGAGTACATTTCTTCAAGTAATAAGGTTGTTTCCCTTGCTTTGCTGCTTCTCTTTCCTTCTTCTTGTGCTTCACGAGAATCTCTTTATCCACAACCTTTGTGGACGCCGATTTCAATTGCTTATCCTAGCAGACCACAAGTTACAAAAAACAAAAAGTAAATATCACAAATTATTGCTAACATGAGTTCGATCAGCTTGGTATTTGTAACCACTTACAACCCATGCTACTCGCTCTTTTAACCCACTAATGACTTCTGGGTCCTTCGTTTTCTTCATCTGGTTCTTCAAGTGCTATAAAAACCATTCAAAAAAATTCAACAAAAAAGCAATTCTTGAAATAACAGCATGTAGTATGGTACAAACTTTAGAATTCAGAAAAAGTACCTCTTTCTCAGCAGGAAGCGCACTCTCGTATAGAAAGTTGTATCTCTTCTTGAACCTGCAAGATACAGAAAATTAGTATCAAGTAACAGAAAAGGGAACGATCAGGGAGTGTTTATATTATTGTTATCATTATTATTAAATCTATTGACTGAATATGATTTTAAGAAAATTATCATTTTAGAGGTTGTTAACCATGAAAAGGGCACATATATCATGAGACAACAATGGCACACAGCCAGGGTGAGAGTGAGCAGGTGAAAGAATTGTGCAAGGTTATACGGTTTTAAGATATGGTCATATGGGTAGTTTTGTAATTTACCAATCTTGTCTCATCTCCCTGATTTTTGTTTCGGCTTTTTTGGTGGGACAAAAATGCAGTCCTGTTTGGTTGGTTTTCCGTTAAGTCATGTATGGATAAAGATGTTTGTGTGCATTAATCTGTCGTTTTTGTTTGAAAGGTTTTTTCATAGATGGGAAGAGCATGTTTTTAATTGGAAGGGACAGGTTTGGAAAAAACTTGGCTTTCTGCATAAAGCTCCCCCTAGAAGCTTATTGGATAAGCCACTTTCAATATCATTAAGCCACTACCAAACAGTCATGTATAGCTGACCAAATAAGCTGCGAGTCCCATTAAGCTCATTAAGCTGCTAACAAAAATGCCCTAATGTCACACCAAACATGGGACGAGTTTTTGATGCACCATCGAACTAGTATTTGCAAGATAGGAGCCCGAAAGCCAGTGAACCAAGAGACGTGATCAAGGTAATCCATGCACTCCACACATATATACACAAGACTTAAGAGGGGGGAGAGAAATTACCCATCTACATCTAGTGTTCCACATAATGATTCAAAACGAGGGTCACGAACAACCTGATTAAAAAGATATATAAAAATCAGTTAAAAATCACCATTATATATACAAACGGAATTCCCTTGTGATACCTAGACAAGTTGAAAGTGAACATTTTAGGTATTCACGAGGACACCACATCAAGAGAAACAAACGAAACAATTCAGTTTAATCCATACAGATAGCTTAATGAAAAAGGATAAAATATACCATTACTCACCTTTTTAGGAACCTGAATGACTTCTCTAAATCTACCAACTGGCTTTTTGCTACTGATCTCCATTGGTCTGAAAACATAACCATATTTATTCGTGAACAACTCTGTAAACTAACAATATGAATAAAAAAGGAACTTACAGAGATCACGTACCTATTTTTGTTCTCTCGCTTACCCTTTCTCGCTAATTTAGGCTTCTGATTAACTACATGTGACCCATCTGAACGTGCCTTCTGCAACTCCTCAAACGTAACATTTGCAAGCACCTCGTGTATGTCCGTCTCCCCATCCTAATCACACATTCGTTATATGCTTACTTGAATATAACACACCGCATGTGTGTGTGTGTGACTTAGGCAACCATAACAGTTTCATTAGCGGGACTGGATTGGACGGCCAAGAGTGAGGTAGGCGGATGAAAGAATTGTTAAAGGTTTTAGGGTTTTAATTTGGCGTATGTAATTTAATAATTTACCTATCTTGTAACATCTCCCTATTTTTGTTACACCTATTGTGGCGGGACAAAAAAATACATTTTTGGTCCCGCTCAGTCCTGTCTTGTTCCAGTCTAAAGTCGCGCTAGACGTGGGACAACAGATTTTTGTTCTGTCGTATCATACGTACCAAACGCACACATAACGAACACATTGATGATGGTAAATGGGTACTCCCTTTTAGTACATTCTTATTTACAAATCTAAAACCTAACACCTTCGTTGTGGTCCTTGTAATAAAATTCAAAGAAACTATCAAAGCTTCTCCATAAATCAGAGTTAGCATCAGTTTTTAAATAGAATATTAATAATGCATAAGTCCCTCTTCTTTGGGAACGGATCGAGGTAAACACAAATCTGTTTGTGCACTAGAAAATCAACATATAAATGCGGATATCAAGACTCACATCTTCAGAAGCAGATTCTTCTTCTTCTTCTTCATCACTTACTTCGAATTTGATTTTGCTAGAAGTAGGCATATCATCATGGTGATGCTTCATATTAATCTCTGAAACTGTAAAAACTTCCATTATTTTCAAACGATTCACTCGTGAAATCTCAAATCTTTAATAGAAATTAACTGACAGAATCATAATGGTTAAAATTAGAGCTACTACTTTGTTTATATTAATTTGATAAAACTTGATGAAGCAAACAGGAAAGAGAAAACTAAATTAATTAAAAGAAAATAATTCTAACAGAAAATTAAGGCTAACATGAAAAGATAAATCCTTCAAATTCTTACAACCACAGCTTCAAATTTTTAGGAGGTGTTTGGTTCGGGATATTATATGGTAAAGAATGGGAATGATAATGAAAAAGGGCTTTGGTTTGATATAATGTAATGAGTCCATTACCCAAAACCTTATAATCCCCATTCCAGACAAATTGGGCGGAACCCTCATTCCTCCTTTTCCTGTACGCCACTCTATCTCTCTATCACCTCTCTCCTTATGTACTCTCTGGATCATTGGCAAACAGAAGGCAAAGAAGCACTGTTTTCTTCCACAGAAGAACAAATTGAACATGTGGCACTGTTTTCTTCCACAAAAGAACAAATTGAACACTCCCTGTTTTCTTCATGCTAGATGCAGCTAAAAATGTTTCTTTCCTCTGTTTTCATTTCATAGCTATTAGTTGTTGTTGCGTTTTTCTTATTGTATTTTGAAGTTGGTTGAACATATCTTTTATTTTATTTTGAAGTTAAGAAGATCCTACCATTTTGAATTGTATTTCGAAGTTGGGTGCAACATATTTTCTATTGTATTTTGAAATTGTGGTAAGTTAATAAATTGATTATATAGGTCCAACATACAAGCAACCTCTATGATAATGTTAATGATTTCAGAGTATTAACCAAGTCAAATCGATACAATGTCCATTCTCATTCCCATTACCCAGCATTCTCATTCTCATTCCCATCACCCAGCATTCTCATTCCCATTTCAATTCCCCTCAGTGATCCAAGCAGGCTGCATCGTTGTTTGAATTTACAATTCTTGCAATTTTCTATATAATATCATTGTTCCATTTTTTCTGAATCTTGTGCTTTTAGTCGAACATGGTCAAGGTGCACACTTGAATTAGTTCGCCAGATATATTCATCGTAATTTAATTTTGTGGGCTCTTGGTCAAATATTTCTTGTTAATTCATTTCTAAACAAAGTGTATGGGTACACTATTGTAGTAGTATTATCAGTGGTTATTCATTTTGACAACTCCAAAGCACGTCATCTTCCCTTTAAACTTAGAGATTTAAGGGTATGTACCAGACTACATACATGTGGCATTTCTTCTTTTCTAATAGTGGCAGCTTACAGTTTATTTACCAAGAGTCAGACATTGATGTTGGGATTGAATTCCACACATTCCACCACTCATGGATTTGGCCATTCCATTGTAATTGAGAAAAAATTCAATTCCATTCCATCCCATTTTCTCAAAATAACAAAATTATTCCCATCTTCCCTACTTGATTTACCCAGACCCATATGACCTCCATCTGAACCACCTCCGACCACCACCACCACCGCCGCTCTGAACCACAGGTCCACAGCCGACCACCACCTATATAAAAGGGGTATTTATGTCATTTATCGTTTACTCATTCCAATTCTGAAACTACATGCTACCAACCAAACCGATTGCAACTTATTTAACAGATTCCATTCAATTCATTCCAACCAAACAGGCGGTCAAATTCCATCCGGATTCCTTCAAAGTCGAATTCCTTTGACATATTCCATTCCTTTACAAAGCATTCAGCCAACCAAACGCCCCTAATGTGGGATTACTTTTGAGGTTCTTCTGGAGCAGAGCTCTGCTCAGAAATAGAAAACATACCAGGGTTTGGGTTTCTAAACTAGCTATTACGAATCACGTTCTGGAAAACAATGGTCTGTCCTCTCATTTTCAAATCAAAAATCAAGAGAAAGAAGAATAAAACTGAAAACCACGAGAAACACACATATCAATTTCCATCAAGCAATCACATCAAAAACACATATTAAGAACATCAGTATCCAAGATGAAGTATTCAACTAAACTATTTAACTAGGGTTTAGCATTTGCCTGAAATTCAAAAAACAAACCAAACCAAACGGAGTTACCTTCTGAGCTGCCAACGGTTGAGAGCTGGGGATCTCCGGAGAGCCGATGGCCGGACAGAGCAGGTATAGGCTACCGGCGAGGTAGGGGATGCGCAGGGCTGTTGGGAACAGAGGCGATGGGCGGCGTCTGGGTTGTTCCGAGATTGGGCCTTTCTCGATAACTTTCTTTATAGAGTACATTACACTTTTAGTCCCCGTGGTTTGTTAAAACTTACAATTTTAATCCTTATATTTTAAAAATCACGATTTTCGTCCTTATATTTTGTAATTAATTGATTTTTAGCCCTTGAGCCTAACTTCTACTAGGGACGGCAAAAAAAAAACCAAAACCAATGACGAAAACCGAAAGCCAGAATTTTTGAGCAAGGTTCGGGGACGAGGCAGGGATGTGATATGTATATGTATGTATGTATGTACATGTGTGTGTGTGTATATATATATATATATATATAATATCATTAAAAGAAAATTATTAACGTTAAAATGTAAAAAGCTTTTATTCACTTTATCTCAACAGTCCAAATAAACCTCATAAAAAAAGTCTAGTTTATTTGTCTAATCGTGAAATTGTGATGTTAATTGGATGATATTTGAAGGTCTATTTATTTTTATATTGTAGTATAGAATTTATTCATAATTGGTTTGATTATGTTTGAGATATTTAGAAGCCGTTTACCAAACGCTTACCCGTGTAAGTGCTTACAGGTAAAATTCAACTCTGTCACTTACTTATTGGATAAGATTTTAGTCCACCGAAATGGTATCGTATACAAACAATATACCCGGTAAGTATTAACCTTGGTAAGAGTCGTCGCCCTCACTTACCGGGTAAGATTATCGGTCCTTACTTACTGGATAAGACTCTCGGTCCTTACCTTCGTTATTATCAGGTAAGATTTTTTATCTTTGTCATTTTCATTTAGTAAAATAATGTAACTTGATAAGCGTTTGGTAAATGGGCCCTTAAGACTTGCATTTTTTTAAAAATTTATTTATTTTTAGTTGTGAAAATTAACATATTGTAATATTTTTTGACCGATCTCGGTTTCAGGTATAAACCAATGTTGAGCAGGCATTTTTACCCTTAACGGGAATCGAAGAAACCGCGAGGACCCAATGGGATCGAGGCGGTTACAAAGACGATTTAGGTTATTGATTACGGGGATGGGGATACCAATAAACAACCCGAACGGCCCATTGTGATTCCTAACTTCTACATTTAAGTACAAGGAATGAAAAAAAAAACAAAGAATTATAAACCACAACGATCAAAACAACAATAAATTATAAATTATAAGGATGGAAATAGCAATGAATTGTGAATTATACAGACGAAAACCATAATTTCTAAACCATAGGGAGAAAAATCGTAACTTTCTACAAACCAAAGGGGTGAAAAGCGTAATTATTCAGGTTTGTCCATTAGTTGTTAGGCCTTATATTGGGCTTTTCTTAAGTAACTATTTGATAATAATCCGGGTTTGAGCCATGGATGGGCCGGTCTGCCCATTTTGCCTTTGGATCTGAATACGATCTTTCTAGAATGACCCGACCCGGTTGGTAGAAAGTTTACTCATTGATTAATGGGCAAACATAAAGAGTAGAGCTGGCATTAATGGCCAAACGTAGAGTAGAGCCCAACAATACCAATAATTAGGAAGAGGTTAAAATCAAATTTTTTTTTTTTTAAAAAATTTACATGAAAAAGTAACGTATTTTAACTTGATTTTTATTTTGGGTAACGTACTTTCAAGACTTTCATTTTGATACCTAAGATGTAAAGTTTTAAACATTTAAGTATCCGGATAACTGGTTGAAGCTTAATTTCCACATCCGAAATCCAATCGAGTTTTTGATTTTTTTACCCGCCCCGCCCGATGCACACCCCTAGTGTTAGATAAGACATTGGGCTCTCTTAGGGGCAACGGTGGATCTAAGATTTTTTTTTTATTAATATCCAACTCGCTATGTGAGCTGACTAATCATAGGGCGACCACCTGCTTTGCAGATAGTCCGAAATCATCGCATTTGAACCTCCGTGGCCACAAGAGAATTTTTATTCTTCATTGGATTTGAACCTTTGACCTCCTGGTACTTTTGATCTTTGGAGCCAAGCTCAAATCAATCAGGCACCACCCTTGTGGTTGGATCTAAGATTTTTGCTGAGTGTGTGCACCTTTAAGGTGGATCAAAGTCTCACAAAGGCCTTCTGATGTGTTTTTAGTGGAATTCCACTATTTTAAGGGATTTTTAAGTTTTTTGGTTAGCGAGGGATTTTTTCGGTTTGTTGGTTGACTTCAAGAGACTTTTCTGGTTTTTGATCGATTTCGAGTGACTTTTTTCCGATTTTTACGGTTGACGTTTATTGTATTTTCAAATGTCTCAGAGCACCCTTTAAAGTTTAACGGTACACATCTTCATACCTCACAAAAAAATATACTTACGAAAAGAAGTCGAGCGATAGCACAAGTAACCTCTCAAGACTTAATAGGTCGACCTCAATCTTGACAGTAGATAAAACAGACAGTATCTGATATGATTTTTCAGAAATTTTAAAATAATTATAAATTTATATATAATTAAAAAAAATACTAATTATTCTAAAACAATTAATTCCGAAAATGGACAAATCCTTTCGTTGATTGTATCGAAATCCAATAGAATCCAAACCGGATTCAATCATCAAGATTCGACACCAACCCTGATCACCTGTATCTTATCCAATCAAAGACATACACGTGTCATTCCACGTCACCTGTTCCCAACCGTTCGGACCGGACCCGCTCCAACTTCTACCGGTTCCGGACTCAATAAAAGGACTCGTCTTCCCGAATCCCGAACCCAAATACTCGAAGACTCGGGTTGACTCAGTGTGTGTGATAGAGAGAGTTTTCAGAGCATGGAGATGGAATCAATGGCGACGGCGATCGGAGTATCAGTACCGGTGCTCCGATTTCTTCTATGTTTCGTCGCCACTATTCCTGTCGGATTCTTACATCGCCTCGTCCCTGGCGGGGCCACCGGGAAACACTTGTACGCCGCCGTGACTGGTGCCGTGCTTTCTTACTTATCCTTTGGGTTTTCTTCGAATCTGCATTTTTTTGTGCCGATGTTAGTCAGTTACGGGTCAATGGTGCTTTATCGGAAGCGATGTGGCTTAATAACTTTCTTCCTAGCAATGGGTTACCTCATTGGATGGTACGTGATTGTTATTTGATCGTTTAATTTGAAAATTTAATCCTGGTTTGGAGAAATTAGGGTTTAAGTTGTTTATTTTTGGGATTTTTTTGTGCAAATACGGAAACCAGGCATCGTAGACCGTCTCTAATGCTCTTTGAATCTCTTAGGGGCTGATTGTTCGGTTTTTATTAAGGTCTGTACGGACAAAGCTGAATGTGTGGAATAATTTGTCTGCATAGATTGAAAAGATTTTTGTTTAAGTGTGCTTTTTTCTTAGATGGAATGATATTTTTTAAATGGGAGGGGTAGGTTTAGGAACTTAAAGCTACTCCCTAGAAGCTTATTGAATCAGCCATTTTCTATATTATTAAACCATTACCAAACAGTCATATATAGCTCACTGTATAAACTCCGAGTCCCATTGAGCTCGTTAAGCTACTAACAAACAGGCCCTACGTCGAATAAAAGTTTTCCTAGGTTCCGTCCCCTTTTCCACAAAAACAGGCCCTAAGTCACTTTCTATATCATTAAGCCACTACCAAAGAGTCATGTATAGCTGACCGAAAAAACTGAGACTCCCATTAAGCTGCTAAGAGACAGACCCTTAGTATTGCTCCTGATATTGAATGAGTTCCTTCCTGTATACATATAGAATTAAAGGCATGTCTTATTTTATACAAGATATGAAGAGTTTTCGAGTTTAGAAACTCCATTGAAAGTATTGATAATCGTTAATTATTTGGAAAATGTGTAGCCATGTATACTACATGAGTGGGGATGCATGGAAGGAAGGAGGTATTGATGCTACTGGTAAGCCCTCTCTCCAGCTTTGGATTCACTACATATTTCCATCCCCCATCCGAGAAAAATGAAATTAAATATGACATGTGACGTCAAAAATATGGCATCCCTTTCTTTTCCAAGTGCAGCATCTCATTTTCAAAACATAAAAATGTGAATCACATATATTTTTCCATGATGGTGGAGTAGTACTGGTAAATAGGGAAAGCTATGCCATTTTTTTGGAAATGTGTCCCAGGATTGATCCTGGCGAATTGTGACTTTAAGACATCAGGCCTGATAAACTCAATATTGGTCTATTAGATTTTCCAGTGTTCTTTTTGAACTACCCAAGGAAACCATACCATTGTTGATGAGGGCAACTGGGCAAGAAACAGAAATATTGGTGCATCCTATTGGTCAAGTCAAGAAGTGAAAGTGGGAAGCAATGTTGTTAAAATGTGGGGAACATACATGTTTTTCATATAATCCATCCAAAATACCAACTTATATAATCAAACACTGAGTTTTAAACCTAATTCACTCACCCAATCCCATTTTCTAATCATTCTTGTGACTCTAGATCATTATCTCATTCATGGGACCTGATTGACTTGGATATTCGACAAAGAGTAGAGTTAAACTTTTTTTATCTCTATCCCAAAATTGGCCCCCAATGCAATTTTTTATTAAAAATACTGTCCGGATTAAATTATGTATAACTTGCTCTACCTATCTATCCGACAATCTCTTCCATTTCCTTGGTGTTTGCCTATCAAGGAGAGATGATTTGACCTTGCCTTGCGCCCTTGCCTCTCAAAGTTTGCTCTCTCCCAGCTGACATTGATAGTTATGAGTTGCACTCCATGCTATATTTGGTAATAGCTTATTTTTCCTCTGTGGTCTTATTGTCCAACTTTACATTAGTTGGTGAAATGATATCAATAAATCAGATGAAAAAAATCATGTTGGTATAATTTGTACATCATTTGTTGTGAGCCATACAAATAGGTAGCAGTATTAGAATCAGAGAAAGGTGATTGCTGGCTTTTGTGTGTTTGATAAGATCAACATCAATTGAGCATTGGATGAGTGCATCCCAGACTAGTCGGCGTAGGCTGAAAGTCAAACCCAACAGGACTTATAAAAAGCTGAATCCCTCTAGGGTTCTAGGATACAGATAGGATCCTTCCATGCACAATTCTCTAATGCAAGCTCATTTGATAATTTCCCTCATTTCAACGTCTTGTGGCTACTCCTCCCATACCAATCTTTGCTGGCATCACTGTCTTCTAATGACCTTCTCTTGACACAAATATCATCTTCTGACTATCTTATTTAAAAGGTCTGTGCTGAAGATGAATCAACCTTACTAGACTGTGCAGCCTCAGTTCCCTCTCTCATCAATCACTTACATCCCAATCATTATAAATATCATATAGATATAGTTGCTGTGGAGCAAATATCTCTCGAGTGAAGATGCTTATACTTTTAAAAAGATCTTCAGTTGAGCAAAAGTGACACTCTTTAAGGGGGCAAGACGGATAAAGCAGACATTCCAAATCCGTAAATTTTTCCTAAAAAAACTAATTGCAAGTTTGCATCTGTATCCATTAAGAACAAAAATCTAAAACAAAACTTAGTGCTGCAAGAGAGAAAGGAGGTGAAGCAAGGAGATGCACCAAATTATTTTTGCTCAATAGTTTGGATTAATATTGGTGCCTAAATATGGCTGCAACTTCTTTTTCTTATTGATTTAGTTTTATATGTGAATATATATATACACACACATGCACACATATACATGTGTACACGTGTGTATATATATATAGGTAAGTGCACACACATACATGAGACACACCCGGTATCCCCAATTATTTAGAATCTCTAAATCTTTGCATCCATGTATCGTTTACCATCTTCTCGCAACTGTATCCTTGAAACATATCCATATACAATATATGTGACCCATTGTAATCAAAATGTACTTTTGAGAATCACATATGAGTTTGCAACCTTCTTTCTCCTAATTTTCATGTAGTTACAAGTATGCTTTGTTTGTTATTCAGTTAAGCGTCTTCAATTCAAAGGCAATTATTTGATTTCTTATTCTTTCATGTAGGAGCTCTTATGGTGATAACATTGAAAGTGATTTCATGCGCTATTAATTACAATGATGGATTGCTGAAAGAGGAAGATCTTCGTGAATCTCAAAAGAAAAATCGATTGCTTAAGCTTCCCTCTTTAATCGAGTACGTGGGATTTTGTCTCTGTTGCGGAAGTCACTTTGCAGGTCCAGTTTACGAAATCAAGGATTACTTGGATTGGACAGAAGGGAAGGGGGTACGTATGCCAAGCTGATTATTTTCTATTTTCTGCCCTGTCGCTCATTCTTTTATTTTTGTAAGTATATAATATTTATATACGGTAAAACTTACACACACTTCTCACCTTTGGTGAAGCTTGAGCCCTCGACCTCCAACCTCCAGGGACGTTAGGATCTAATGTTGGGCCAATGGCCCTTTGGTCCATATCACTTATTCTTGTTGAGGGTTTTGTCAATTAGGGTGCGTTTGGTATCCAAACAGGAAAGAAGATAGAACAGAACAACTGATCAATGTTTGGTAAGACAAAAGTGGATAGGACAGAACAATAAAATGACCAATTTATCCCTAATGAGTGTTCATATCTTTAATCTATTTGATTAATTTATGTAATTTATTAAATTATAATAAAATAAATATTTTATATAACAAAGTCTATCATTAGAAAGTTTTCGTCAAGACGATTAAAATGACACCAAAATAAAAAGTTTATGTAGCTTTCAACTTATATTTTATACCTTTTCTATATTATTTTTTTATTATTAGTATTTAATAGATTAGATAAATTAATCAAAATATAGAAATCGTATAAAATAATATTTTGAGGACATTAAAGTTAAAGTTTAAAAAACATAAAATACAATAAATAAAATTTAGAAAAATGAATAAAATGTTTTAGAATAAAATTAAGTTTGTTCCACCTAGTTCCATGGGGTGGGGGTGGAATACATTGTTCCACATAAAAGTCCTGCCAAATGGAACAATGATCCTTGTTTGGTTCAGTACTTCAGTCAGTGTACCAAACGCACCCTTAGAGTTGTATCTTAAGTTCGCTACTGATTTATCTTAACATTTCCCAGATTTGGACGAAATCTGAGAAAGGTTCACCATCACCTTTCGGGGCGACCCTTAAAGCTCTTCTCCAAGCTGGTTTTTGTATGGGTTTGTACTTATATCTAGTACCCCAATATCCACTATCAAAATTCACCGAGCCCGAATATAAAGAGTGGGGATTCTTGAAAAGACTAAGCTACCAATACATGGCGGGATTTACAGCCCGTTGGAAATATTATTTCATATGGTCTATTTCAGAAGCTTCCATCATTATTTCGGGTTTGGGTTTCAGTGGATGGACCGATTCTTCCCCACTCAAGGCAAGATGGGATCGTGCCAAAAATGTTGATGTCTTGGGTGTCGAGTTTGCCAAGAGTGCGGTGGAGATACCGCTCGTTTGGAATATACAAGTCAGCACTTGGCTTCGTCACTGTGAGTATTCGTTGCTAGTGTCTATAATGCGTAATATATGTGGTCTGTTGATTAGAGATGTATATAGGAGTGTAAACGAGTCGAGTCGAGCAATAGGTTATTGGAGCTCGGCTAAAAACAAAAAATACCATGCTCGAGCTCAAATAACTTTTTCAATGTAGGGCTTGAGCTCGAGCTTGAGCGCTTTTTGAGTTATGGAGCCGAGGTTCATGCTCGTTTTTGGGCTCGAACTCATGATAACTCGTTTATTGACTCGAGGTTGATGATATTTATATTTTTATTATATGTTTTGTGGACATATTAACATGTTCGGCTTGAAAAAGTGCACGCTCGAATGGCTGAGCTTAGATCAACTCGGCTTGAATTTTTTATCGAGTTTTCGAACGAGCCGAGTCGAACATTGGTGTTATCAAACTCGGCTCGTTAAGTTAAACGGGTTTAATTTTGTGTCCAAGATCGACTTGAGCTCGAGAATTATTAAGCACAGGCTCAAGATAAACGAGCTCGAGTAGCTCATTAAAAGCTCGACTTGTTTAAACCCCTAGGCGGAACCCATCACCGGGTGGGATATACCAGCTCATTTGATCTGACATGGTTTGACGACCTATGGGAAGGAACCCCAGGACCTAGCCTTTACTTGCCGATTGAGCTGACGCTCAAGCCCTGAATATCACAAAAACATGATGGTGGCGAATAAAAAGAATGGGGGTGTTTTTGAGGAAATTGACCAAAATAGCCAATCTCCCCAACGAACTTCACCTTTTAGCCACTTCTTCAATTGAATTCCCATTTTAGCCAGAGTTTAGCAAATGTCTTGCGCATTTGTTTAAACTCGATTTTCAGAATAAAAAAAAGGAAAAAAGAGTTTTTTGCGTCATGATTCAGATTTTTGCCTAAGGATTTTTTTGGGACATTGACAAAAATAGCCAATCCACCAAAGGTGTTTCACTTTTTAGCCATGTCAGGAACCCACTTCCCCATATAGCCATAGTTTATGCAAAATCCATACGCATTATGCGTAAGGACTGATTTCGACCAAAAAAAGAGCTTAAAAATAAGCCTTATGCAGAAACCCTTTTCTGCATAAACTTTCTGTGTACTTGATGGAAAGTTGACGCAGAAAGTGTTTTCTGCATAAAGTTTGTTTTTAAAATCATTTTTTGACTGAAATCATATGGGTAAGGATTCTGCGTAAAATATGGTTGTTTGGGGAAGTGGGTTCCTGACATGGCTAAAAAGTGAATTGACTTTGGTGGATTGGCTATTTTCGTCAATTTCTCCTTTTTTTTCTTCTAGAAATAGTCTTTACGCAAATGCGTAAAACATTTGCATAAAGACTGGCAATTTTGGGAAGAGGCTTTAAAAAGTGAATTTGGTTGATAGGATTGGCTATTTCAATCAATTTCCCGAGTTTTTGCGGCACAACTGCCAAAGTTTTTGTGATATTTACATCGTGCACCAGTTCGCTTTTATGGAACGAGTAGAAGCTCTGTAGTATCTCACCGTAAAATACCTGTATGTATTTTCAGATGTATATGACAGACTTCTTCAAAAGGGGAAGAAAGCTGGTTTCTTCCAATTGCTTGCAACACAGACTGTTAGTGCTGTATGGCATGTAAGTTTAAACTTTCCTTCACTTTCTGATTTTATTTTGATCGATTCCAGGAATACGATGATTTAGTTCTTCAATTATATCTTGCCCAATTTTTCATGTACCGAAACGCACCTAAGGGTGCGTTTTGGTACACTGGACATGACAAAACAGAACAAGGTTCACTGTTCCACGTTTGGAACAGGTGTGTTCCAACCTCACCCCATGGAACAAGGTGAAACATATCTATATTTTACCAATATAACCTCGAAATAAAACATAATTTTCTTCTAAAACATCAAATACGCCTCCCTCTTTACATTTTATTTATTGTATTTTATTTATGTTATTTAAAATTTCACTTAACTGTCTTCAATATATTATTTCTGTACGGTTTCTATATTTTGATTAGTTTATGTAATTTATTAAATATTAATAATAAAAAATAATATAAAAGTATAAAATAAAAATTGGAAACTACATAAACTTTTATTTTGGTGTCATTTTAATCATCTTGACGAAAACTTTCTAATGATGTATTTTGTTGAACAAAATATTTATTTTATTATAATTTAATTAATTACATAAATTAATCAAAATATAGAAACAACTCATACAGGGTAAATTGGTCATTTTATCCGTTCTGTCTTACCAAATGCCAAACAATTGTTTTGTCAGGGTTACCAAAATGCAACCTAACAGTCAACTTATTAGGGGTAAATTGGTCATTCTGTTATGTTTCTTCGAAAATCTGACCGTTATAAATCCGTAATAACAGGGATTATATCCGGGGTACATCATATTTTTTGTTCAATCGGCTTTGATGATTGCTGGTTCAAGAGGTAACAAATGCCTTTACTCTTTCTTAAACTACCATCTGCATACGAATCAACGATTTTGTAGCGTTATCTTAACGGTTTCTATTTGTCGTTCGCAGCCATTTACAGATGGCAACAATCCGTTCCCCCAAATATGGGGATTGTTAAGAAGATATTTATGCTTATGAACTTTGCGTATACGCTTCTCGTCCTCAACTACTCCTGTGTCGGTTTCATGGTTAGTATCTGGTGGTCGTGTTTCTTGTTCCCTTCTCTCCAGAGGAAAAAACGTACAGTTTCACTTTTGAGATCGAGCGATTGACTTTTTAAACTTGACTGATGGATCTTGTGAAAAAAAAAACCCAAAAATTGTTATGGTTTGCAAAAAAATGAGCGATTTGGACGAATCGCGGGAACGCAATCCAAAAAGATTGTAGTTCGATCGGTTTTTTGTCTTGAAACCGCTCTTATACAGTGTTAGTGTTTTGTTTTTGCATTTTCACAAGAACCATCTTTTGCTGCTTTGAAAAGTCAATCACTTGCTTTGAGATCGATACGGTATACTCCCTCCTTCCCGCGATAAACGTGTTCGATGAAAAAGGCACACGGTATTAGAATTACGTTATTATTACACCTTTTAATTAATTAAATGACTATTTTACCCTTGATAATAGAGGGAGGCAACAAATTACTTCATCTCATAATTAAGAGTAGAATTGGAAAATATGCACTTACTTTTGAAAGTTGCCAATTATTATAGGACAAACTAAGAGTATGTTTGTTAGCAGCTTACTGAGCTTAATGGTACTCGCAAACCGCCTTAAAGGGAGTATGTTATTTCAAAAAGTCAAAATGTATCTTTTTTTGAAGTATATAGTATTTATATACGGCAAATAGAACAAATAAACTCAAACATCCTTCTCACCTTTAGTAAGGTTTGAACCTCTGGTTTCCTAGGAGGCCAAAGACTCACATACTGCTAGGCCGAAGACCCTTTGGTATGCATCTTTTTTTTTGTAAAACGTACTTTTTGTATCATATATATATATATATTTATTTTTTTGACAGGTATTAAGCCTACACGAAACACTCACGGCATACGGGAGCGTATACTACATCGGGACTATTATTCCTGTGGTTTTGATCCTTCTCGGTAACGTAATCAAACCAAAGCCGGTTAGATCCAAAGCCCGAAAAGTAGAGTGAGAAATCTGTTTGTAGCATCGGTCCGCTTGATAACACCTTAGAATCGTTCTTAGTTGTTGTATTCGGATTAAACTTTGTGTTTTCGGAATCTTATTGTGTATTATATAATTTGTCTGATATCTGATACAACTGTTGTTCGAAATGGTAATTGGTATGTTGATATTTTCATGACTTGTCCCAATGGGCTGACAAAAGTACAAAACTAACTTTTGTTATGTCGTTTTTGGATTATTCGTTAGTACTGGTTTAGCTTACGATGTGTTTGGAAGCACTCGACCCAACGAGTAGTTCACAGAGAACTGAAAAAGGAATTCCATTAATTACCGGCCGTTCTGATTATTTGGAACAACTCGATGAATTTAGTAGATCTTTTTAGGAGGCCTCGATGACGATTTTCAGTTTTCCATTAATTCATGCATGTATAAAGTTGTTTATGTGGATTAATTTGTTTATATAAAGATTATGGCTGACAACGGGTAAGGATAAACCTGTTACCCGTTATATTTCGACCTATTGAATAAAGATATGGGTAAAGAAAATCTTATCCATTACCCATTTACACGACATTTTAATGAGTAGGGGGGCATGGATAAAATATTTTTGGGGGTCATGTGAGACAAGACTGTTTTCGTGAGACACGATTTTTACATTTGAAACTTCACAGTAAAACACTGTGAAGATAACTTTCACATTGTTTTTGCTTTTTTTTACCTTCACAACATTTTGTTATGAAGTTTCAAGTGTAAAAATCGTGTCTTACGAAAACAGTTTTGTTTCACGTGAACCCAACCCTAAATATACACACCCATATACATATACATACATATAATTATATAAAGTTAAATATTAATATATTTTTAGAATGTTATCTTATATGTTGTATAACGTATATTAATTTGTATTTAATTTTCTTTTCATTTTCATCAACAAAAAAAAGTTGATTAGGATAATCAAATGAGAAACAATATTCACACATACACACGAGGGATCATGTGAGAATAACAATTATGGCGAGAAGGTAAGAACGCTTCTGAGTTTTTGGATGAGTTGACTTTTTAATCTAACTTAATTTTCTTCAACTAGTTTCAGTACCTTCAATTACATTCATCTATCTTCAATTACTTTCAACTACCTTCAGTTACATTCATCTACCTTCATTTTAATATTTTAAAAAAATAAATAATTGTTTTAGTATTTTTTTAGAATAAAAAATATAACCAACACATTTATTTTTTATTTTACTTTATTCTAATTGTATTTATATAAATATTTGTATTTGAATTTATATTTATCTATACTATATTATAAAGCATTTGGCTAAAACTCTTAAAAACTCTTAAACTCTTAAAAACTCTTAAACCCGTTCATCCCTATMCGATTTCATCCCATATCTGAATTCATGTAACTAACTGCAGATAAAAACAATCAAATACAGGATAAACATCTCATTTTAAATATAAAAAATCTAAAATATAATTA